ATAATAGTTAATAATAATAAATCACAATACGGATAATCACTTCTATAGCGCCCACTCTCTGAGTGATAGCGTCAGTAATCTGCGATCCGGTTAAGAGCACAGAAGAAGCATTAAATAATAATAATAATAGTTAATAATAATAATAAATAATATGATTATACATAATGGCATTGGCACAGCCCATTAAAGGTCAGCTGGGTGTGCGCACTTCCCGTTCAAGCAGAGGCGAGACTGGCTGAGCCAGCAGTTCAGCATGGCAGTTGTCAAGGACACTATTTATTTTTATATCTCTACCCTCTTTCGCCCGTCTGTCTGTGTTCGCCCAGCTATTCATTTCTCTGTGTATCTAATTTCTTCTCTTTGTTTTTGTCTATCTATGCGTCGCGTCAATCTATCTGTACGTTCGTCCGTCCATCCACCTGCCAGCCCGCTCGCCCTCCCTCCTTAGATCCTTCCACCCATTCTTCCACCCATCCATCCATCCACCCATCCATCCATCCATCCATCTATCCATCCCAAACAAAACAAACACGGAATAACATGTGTACATGACGTGTATTTGCAAATCTGCTTCCTGGACTTCACCCACGAGCGGTCGGTCAACACAAGATAACGGAAATTTAATTTAGATCTAGTAGGAGCGTTGTGTTCACTGACTTGCCCTACATGACGGACAGTGTCGCAACGCGGTGGAATCAGGCGCTCGTCATTTTTTTTTTTCAGCACAGGGAGTTATGTTATTTGTATCCTCTTAAAGTCTGTTCATTTGCCTCGCTTTTGATGAAAAAAAAATACCCATCTGTCTTTAATAGGAGTTGAGATATTTGCGATTGAAGGGGGTAGGGGTTAGAGGTAAATCTGGCGAGAGATGAGCCATCAAAGTTTGATGATGTCCAAAGCTTTAGTGTCCTTGGAAACTACAAATGTATATTTTTGTCCCTGTAATCAGCGATTTTATGTACAAGTCAAATCAAAACAGAATGTGTTTTTAAATGGATATTTAAGGTGTTGAATGCGCCCCAGCCCTCCCCCCCCCAAAAAAAAAAAATTAAAAAAATATCCACCAAAAACTCATCCAAACATAATTTAGAACGAAAAAAAATCTATAAATATTTTTCAACGGGCAGAAACACAATTTTTCGGTTTCCTCGAGTTCAAAATATTGACGAACGTCTGGTTTCACCACGACGCCTCACTACACATCGTGGGTGAATAAACCCTAAACCCACGTATAATCAATGTAACGTTATTCAACACTCGCGACGCCTGATTTTATCGCTGACCACGACAGAGGTATTATATCCCGGACTACGACAGGACAGCTTCAAACGGACGAGGCGTCGTGAAAACAACTCAACCCGTGAAACC